ATTTGTTTTAAAACTATTTCTAAATTCAGTTCTAATTTCCAGCAAACGAATAAATGAACAATAATAACAAAGTGTGCTCAAAAACCTGAGTTATATCCTAAAACACATGCTGTGCCCCATACTGTATGGTCTAAAACGTGCAGGTGGGCAAATCTAAGCTTGTTTTTAATAAAACAAATATAAATATGGATATAATAAATAATACTGCTAATAATAATAACATTATACAGAAGCAAATTGTTATGAATGAACTGAAAAAGCCTCCCGAGATGAAGAACGCAAAAAAAACTGTGGTTTTTCATATTTATGTAAGCTATAAAATAATATGTTTTGTAATATTTTAATTCTTTATATTTATATCCTATAAATATTCTCATTATATCCTATATATAGGCCTATCCTTAATATTTAAATTTTTTCATATGTAAAGATATTTGCGTATTGCTCTACATTGTGTGTAGGCTATTAAGCAGTGTGTAAGCGAGGCACAACTCTGCGCTGGAGTTTAGACCGGACTTGTTTTGGTCTAATGAAAAATCTATTATAGTTTCTCAAAATAGCAACGCGACAGCAGTGCGCCTCAAAAACACCTTCCTTTTTAGACCAGAACGCCTATGGACGCACATATGAGCGCTAATGCATTTGCTATTAAAAGAGCGTGGCGCAACGCCTCAAAACGACTCTTGCGCCAAACTGAAACTAGCAAACAAGTATTGCGCCGCGCCTTACGCCACGTTGCGCCGAGTTTATGATAAGGCCCTAAGTGTGCTTTTGATCATTATCAATGCACCAGCAAGAATTGACCCTGAGGTGAAACTATCGCGCCACTGCTGCTTCAACGACGCTCACACCTCTATACTACAGTATGCTTTGCATGGGTTCTAGTACCTAAAGAGTAAGCTCTTGAGTAGTAGCTGTGAATTAGTACTGTAGTACACACTATGATAGAAAATATATGGGTGTTTATAAATAAGCAGTAGCACTGAAATACATACTAATACTGTATATTGATTGTAACAATACGGATGTGACAACGGAGATGAGGATCCAATAGCAGAGTCTTTATTATACAAGGAATGGTCAGGCAGGCAAGGGCCGATCACAGGAGCAAATAGTATTATTTGGACAATCCAAAAGAGAAGTCAAAAACAGGCTAAGAGGTTGGTCCAGCGGGCTAGCATCAGAAAACAAAAAACAAGGCAAAGAATTAAACACGGCAGAGCAAGGTGAGGAGAAACGCTTGGTAATGTGTACAGGTAACAACAATGGGTGTGTGTGTATGCGTGTGTGCATCCATGTGTGTGCTGTATAAATAGTCTATGTAATGAGTTCTTAAGCAGCTTCAGCTGTGCAAGTTTTTAATCAGTCTGGATGAGAAACCGGTGTGTGTGGTGCATGCTTGAAATTGTAGTCCATGTAATGGCGGATTTGTTGCCCTTTAGCGATCTGCAACTGCTAGATCGCCGATACTCATAACAGTGAAAAGATGAAATGTTAAATCAGCTGCTTGAACAGATATTGGTTTGGTGTATTTTCTATCCACTGGGAATGTTAAATGTGTGTCATTCCTACTACTGCATGTGGGAGTGTTTGTAAAAAACAAACTTTAACCTGTCCCAGATTTGTTATACTTTTGTTTGTTTGTGATGCATCCAGACTGCACTGTCACATGTCTATATTCAATAGGAAGCAACTTTAAACAGTGATTCTCGGCCTCCTGCAGTTCTTCCAGACATCAGCTTCCCTCATTCTTGGCTTGTTTTGCTTGAGACGACTGTCTTTAGACGCTCTGATGGGTTTTTCAGTGTCTTATTTTTCATCAAATGTACCCTCTCGAGTCTAGATCTACGAAAGCGTAGCTGGCAGACCCGGTGCTGAAAGGAATAAAACCAGAATTATGACCTTCTGAAAATGATCTAGATCTCAGGGAATAAAAGCAGATTCACATTAAGCACAGACCCCATCGCACATTCATCATGCTGTAATAATTCCAGTGAATGCAAGAAAACAAAGAAGAGCCTTTCATGCTTCAGAAATCCTGCATCGATTGTAATTTAAATCAGAATGTTTAAAACTTTGCATGGCGCAGCATATGGAGAACAGGATTTAGGCATTGTCCTTAAGTTGTAAAGATGCAGAAAGAGCAGCTTGAAAACCAGAGGAAATTGTGATTATATCGCCACTTACAGTCCAAAGTCCATGTCTGGTCCTCAAAGGATGTAATGAAACTGAAAAGCACCTTGACCTAGGGCTGGACAATAATTTGATATCAATATACATCGCGATATATTTTCTTTCAATATCGGTGATATGATTTTTAAACCCATATCGGTATTTCAATATAAATTTGCATATATATATTATTATTATTATTATTATTATTATTATTATTTTATTTTATTATCAATAAGATCCTATACATTGTATCATTTGTCACTGAATGACTTTCAGAGCTCAGGCGTGAAGAGCATGATCATGTCACTTGCATGATGACGTACATCACAGACATGCTGCTGCCAGCGCTCAGCAGTTCGCTCCGTCGCAGAAAGTTTTAGCTACAAAATATGAGTCCTGAATACAGATGTGTATGAACAAGCTTCCACGAGTAAGAACCCACCATGCAGCTTTTGCAGCAAAGTTCAAGCTGAGCGAAAGCCGAAAGAAGGCATGTGAGGAGCTCCAGTATAAACTGCAAACCTTTCACAAATGGCGAAAAGGCGTGTATGCTAAGTACAGCGAATAAACAGTTTGCAGCAGTGCTTAATCTGAGCCGGATCTTGCTCCGGGAAATGTCAGATATTCGTGTTTTGCGTAACTTGTGCGTTGTGAATACCTGCATGTTTGTGTATGTGAGAGAGAGAGCTAGCAAAGCTGTGTGCAGTGTTGTCAGATGTTGCTGACTGATTCCAGCCAAAAACTATACAAAACTCGCCGAAATGCAAAAACAACCGCCCTATCAAATTTGAAAAATGCCCAATCTGGCAACACCGGCTGAGTGCAATGTGTACGCGCGCACTCACATTAAGGCACTTTTGTCGAATAGACCTTTTACGCAAAAAACGGAAGTACGTCAACAACGTGTAAACCCAGTTCCGGTATGAGTTTTTTGGCGGAGAAAAGGCAGCTAGAGTGTTTTCGGCGAGCCTGAGTTGTCTTCCGAAGTTAATTAAATAAATAATTAAAAACATGCAATTAAAATAGGGGAGAGCGGGGTAGAACCTAACACAGGGCCAGGTGTAACACACTTGTTTTAAATACTTCCACACATGCTAGTATGATAAAACTTCGTGTATTTACTAGATGTCACAGCAATAAATTGTTTCATTATTAAAAAAATATATATTTTATTTTATTAGTTGAGTTTCGTGAACAGCTTATATTATTAACATTAATTTGTTCAGGTAGATATGCACAACGGTACACACAGGTGACTAGCGTTAGCTAAATACACTATGAACAATCTTAACTGCAGGTGGGATTGTGGTAAAGTTGGTTTTATATTTGCACATTCAGACTTTCCCTTTAACAATATAGTTACTTTAAAGTATTATTTGCAAACTCTAAATAGCGAATCATAGTAGCAGCCAATGACTATCAAAGTACAGCATTGTTCATAGTCAAATAACCAGTGTTAATGTTGTTTTCAGGTCATGTTTGCATGGTAATTTCGATCGTATATTCAAAGTAACATGGTAAATAATATAGAGACTTCTAAATGAACGAATGTGTGAATATAAAACCAACTTTACCTCAATGCAGGTGGGTGTGTCACGTAGTCATGATCCATCCTTGCTGCCTTAACCACCATATCGCTATCTTCATAGCATAGCTGTTTATACTGACGTTTGTAGGTTCTGTCATATACTGACTCCCTTCTCAAAGGAGCTGTAAAGTTGTTCCAAGGGAATAGGCACGGGACAACATCACTCTTCAGGCGACGAACGACGCAGCCACCACTGTAATCATCCGGAGCGAAGTGCCGGCTGCAGACATAGGTGCTACCTGTTTTACATTAAAACTATGCCCTTCCTCTCTTCAGATCGCCTGTATCCATTTAGGTTTCAGGTTTGGAACCACAGGAAAAGAATGAAATAAAAGGTAGGGCTGTTTTTGGTTAGAAGACGAACAGCCTGGAACACAACAGAAACTGCGATTCTTCGACTCTGCCATTTTTCGTATCTGCCGCTATGATAACAGGAAGTTTTAATGCACTACATTGACGTATTTCCGTTCGAAAAATGCGGAAGTGCGTAAAAGGTCTATCAGCTTTCTTACATTTACAATCACTTTCATCGATTGGTGATTATTGTTTCGCGCGCAGTGAGCAGCGAAGATAAATAATGACATAGTGGCCTACTAAATAATTTTCAAAAATATAAATATATAAATAGACTAAAATATATAAGAACTATTTTATGTGAAACCTTTCAATTTAATTAGGTAGTTACATACACAAATATAAATAGACAGATATAACCCTTAAAGGACGTTCAAGATGAAAAGCAACCAGAACTGTGAATGTACTCATCTGTTTGTAAAGGCTAAATACAAATAAAAAGTGAACATCAATTTTTGTCCTTTTTTATTAAGAAAAAAAGAGCCTAGAGGTATTATAGACTTTGCAAATTTGTAGGCATTTGTAGGTACAGACATCTATTGTGTTCGTTCTTGGCAGTTTTTTCCTGGCTTTTTAATTTTGTCCATATCGATATCGGAATTATATCATATCGACCGAAATTAAGAAATATATCTTGATATAAATTTTTGCCATATCGTCCAGCCCTACCTTGACCAGGTATACGCGAAATTGAGACAAAGCTGCGTGTCCTGACTGAAAGCGTAAAGTTTAATGAAAACCTTGAAACGTACTTCAGCAATATTAAACAGACATGTCAGACATGTGACAGCTACCTGAATGATGAAAAAGCACCAACCGTACAGCGTGTCTCTGCCTGCCATCAATTAACCCCTCTCCCTCTCTCTCTCTCTCTCTCTCCCAGGAGGCCGTGATCAGTGGTCTTCTCCCTGAAACCACATATTCAGTGACTGTAGCCGCGTACACCACTAAAGGAGATGGAGCGCGGAGCAAAGCCAAAGTGGTGACCACAACAGGAGCAGGTGAGAGTTGTGAAGTTTAGAGTTTAAGTGCTGCAGTATTTCCAGAGGTGAAAAGTTCAGCTGCAGTCACCTCTGAGCGACCTTCGCTGCATCACTTCAGCTGTATTTGCAGCTCAGCGGCCATTTCATCAGCTGAGCAATCTGGCCCGGGTGCTGGAGATTAAAGAGAAGTGGAAATTAATTCACATCATTCTTTTCTAAGGCAGGAGAGGATTTGTACAGGTAGTGCATTAGGGGGAATACACCAGCGTGACCTTTACACTAAAATAAGTCAGTGTGGGGTTGGAAAATTAGTGATTATGAATAGTGTTTTTCGGTGATATGTTAAAAAAAAAAAGTACAGGCATTTGTATTTTTGAAAGATTGTAGAGATTTTGAAGATTTTTTAAAATAAATTAAAGACATTGTTTTGAGTTAAGTCATCGTTTAGGTGTTCACCACCTGGCTTCTGCTTTGTGCACAAACGTCTTTCAGAAACCGTAAGCGAACTGCTTAAAAAGATGTTATCATTGAATGTTTTGGTCACACAATAAGATTTCATTAGTTAATGTATTTACTGATGGTGATCATTTACTCTGGCCTTGCTCCTTCTTATCTGCTCTCACTTCTGCAGATCTATGTGCCCTCCAGAAACTTGCGTTCTGTGAATGAACATCGCCTCGTGGTTCCATCCCAAAGAGGGAAGAAATCACTTTCGCGAACGCTCACGCTCAATCTGCCCAGTTGGTGGAATGAACTCCCTAACTGCATCAGAACAGCAGAGTCACTCGCTACTTTCAAGAAACGACTAAAAACTCAACTATTTAGTCTCGACTTCACTTCCTAATCTGCAATTGCCTCTTTGAATATCACACTAACTGTACAAAAAAAAAAAAATTACTAATGCTACTAATACTTCCCCTTCTTAGACTTTACAGACCTGAAACTTGCCTATAGCACTTATTCATTGTTGCTCTTAGTTGTGTAAATTGCTTCCTTGTCCTCATTTGTAAGTCGCTTTGGATAAAAGATAAAGATAAATGACTAAATGTAAATGTAAATGTAAATGATGGTGAACAACATGTAATGTAATGTAATGTAGGGCTTTGCAATTAATCGAAAATCCGATTTCGATTTCGATTATGGCTTCAAACGATTATGAAAAACCATCAATCGAGATAAACGATTATTCCATTATTTACCGCCCCCTGTCCAGTTGTCCTCACTTGTTGCTCTTAAAAGCGCGAAAGACCGCATGCTTATGTGTGTGCGGCGCGCAGTCAGAAGCATGCGGTCTGCACTTGGTCTCATTCGCACATTGTGACGAGCAGAGAGCACACACATCTAAAGTCATTAACGGGAGCGCTTTAATGTTCAAATAGGTGTCAAAACGCGGTGTTTAGTGATTATTCATATCAACCCTCATTTTGTAATAAACAAACGAGTTGAGGATCAAAAGATGCGTGAAAGCGAAACCATTAAAGTAACAGAGCACAGCTGCTTTCCAGATGTTTTATCATGATTAATAAAACAACGAGAAAATCCCTCTTTGCTCTTGACTGAAGACTTTTGTTGCTAAAGTGTTTTTCTTACGGTGAAGATGCTAAAAGCACAGTTTGTTTCATATTTTTATTATATTGTATTTATTTCTCTTTCCTTTGCAGGGAGGAAAATAATATATGCAGTTGAAGTCAGAATTATTAGCCCTCCTGAATATTAGCAACCTTTTTCCCCTAATTTCTGTTTAATGGAAAGAAGATTTCTGAACATAATAGTTTTAATCATTCATTTCTAACAACCGATTAATTTTATCTTTGTTATGATGACAGCTCATAATATTTTAGTAGATATTTTTTTAAATACAAGCAAATTCAAAGTGGGATTCAAAAGCTTAATTAGGGTAATTAGGCAAGTCATTATAAAACAGTAGTTTCTTCTGCAGACAATCAAAAATATATATATTGCCTAAAGGGGCTAATAATATTGACCTTAAAAGAGGTTTCAAAATATTTAAATTTGCTTTTATTCTAGCCAAAACAAAACAAATCAGCCTTTCTCCAGAAGAAAAAATATTAGAGGAAATACTGTTAAAATTCCTTGCTCTGTTAAACATCATCTGGGAAATATTTATTTTTAAAAAATTCTCAGGAGTGCTAATAATTTTGACTTCAACTAATAATCGTTTGGAATAATCGTGATTACAATTATGACCAAAATAATCGTGATTATAATTTTTCACCAAAATCGAGCAGCCCTAATGTAATGTGTATTTATATAGCGCATTTATTGTGTATGGCCATACACCCAAAGCACTTCACAATCATGAGGGGGGTCACTTTACTCCACCACCAGTGTGACACTTTGGCTAGGACACCGGGGTTACACCCCTACTCTTTACAAGAA